TCACTCATGCAGCCTGGGGGCCAGACACATACCTAGAGAAACGAGGCAAATATCCACATGCTCCTTCCATCTCCCTGCTTTTACCATCCCTAACTTCTGATCCCCAGCATTCTTCCTGTTGTGTGGCCACCACTTTCCTTTTCTCTGTGGTCCCCATAGCGCTCTGTCCCTTTCTCCATGTCTGTCTTCTCACACATTCCACTCATTCTCTCTCTCCCTCTGACTTGGGTTCCATCCTTGGCTGACTCATTCTTTTCACCCTCTCCCTGGCTTCTACTTCCTCCTCCATCCTTTGGCCATATTGATGTCCAGAATCTAGCCACTCCCAGGTACCCCACGCTCTAAACTTAGGGTCAGCGAGAAAGGTCACAAGAAACCCCTCACCGGATACAAGCACTGGCTCAGAAGTCCTTGAGATATATTGTCTACTAAAGCTGTCCATAAAATCTGGGTGCGTTTGTAGACAGCGGCCCCTTCCGAAACCCACTACTCAACCTTCCTGTTCAGACTCATGTCTTACAGGCGCTGGTCAAGGAGACTCCACATGGGAGGCAATGGGTTGTGGTGGGTGGGTGGACGCGTAGTGCAGGGATGTTGTGATTTGGTTTGTATGAGAGGATGTGTGTAAGTCACATGGGTGTGTGTCACTGTGTGGTTGGCTGTCTTTTTTCCGAAAGGTGTGTTTCTGTCCCTGTCGGTTTTGACACGGATTTTTTTTTTTTTAATTAATTAGGGTCTTTACGTTGTCTACATCATTGCTCTGTACCCCCAGCTCCTTCCTCCTTTTCTCCGGGCAAGCTTCCTTCTACCAATCCCACTCTCCCCAAACCTAGTAGGCAGGGTGTGAGAGCGCACGAACCAGTTGTCCTCCGCCAGAGGAACTGAGGCAGGGCTGAGCTGAGCCCAGAGACCGCCTGCAGAGGCGAGTCCAAAGCTAAAGCGACGAGGGAGGGGCGGGAGCTGGCCTGGCCCAGCCGGCTGGGCGGGAAGCAGGCTACATCCTAATCCCCAGGCCATCGGACTCCCAAACTGCTGTTCAGCGCGGAATGGGCGGACGAAGCCACGCTGCCTGCAACACACTCCAGTCTCTGAATGCACAGACCCCATGGAACCTGACACCATGGACCTGTCTGGATCCTCAAGCTCCCTTATTTGTCCCCTACGTCCGGGATCGTGACCCCTCCAAACCCAGACCCCCCCTCCATCTACTTCCTCCCCCACGACACATCTCCCCTATGCCCCTCTCACCGCCTCCGGAGCTGAGAGCTCAGGGTGCGGGCACTCCCGGGTCCCCGGTTCCTAAGCAGCGTCTGGAGCCTGCTCCTTGGCTCCTACCACCGCAGCCGCCGCTCCAGCCACCGCCGCCGCCGCCGCCTCTTCCGCCCGTGGAGCAGAGCCTGAGCCCAGCACCGCCTCACCCCACCCGACTGGCCGGTGATGTCAGAGCCGGGGGAGGGGCGGGGGGCGGGGAGCGGAGAGGGGAGGGAGGAGGGGACAGAGACTGAGTGCTGGGGTTCTGGAAGGCTCCTAGGTTGGGGACAGGACTGGGATGGAGTATGGACTCTGCCTCTTCCCCTTTAACTGTGGAACAATCCTCAGATTAATTTTTTCCCAGTGGGTCACTTTCGTGCCCTCTGACCTTTGGATGAGCACGGTGGCCAGGACCCCCAAAGGCAGAGGCAATTTGGTTTGGGGAGTTTGAAAGGCCTGTGGCCTCTGGGTTCTCTTAGCTACTTTGCTTTGGTATTTAGAAAAACCTCCTTCCTAGCCTCATATATCGGAGAGAGGATCAGTAGAAAATAATCAAGTTTATCCGGGCTAGGAATAGAAATGGGGATGGGGCAGGCAGTAACAGGGGAATCTTTTTTTACTTGGCCAGGAGCCATTATCTCTTCTGGATGATAGCAGCTGGACCCCAGTGCTCCTCCTGCCTTTCCCAAATATACCCTCACACACTCACACCCTCCTCTCGACACACCACACACACACACACACACACACACACACACACACACACACTATGATGTAATTTTATTTTCTGGGGAAAAAAGCCATGAGCTCAGCATGCAAATATAGACAGCTAACAAAGCCACACTTAGCTGTCTTCTAGCTCTGTCCCTCTGCCTAGGCCCAGTGTGATAATTCTCACTTCCCCTCCACTTCAGGGACTTTCCTCCCCCAGATTCTCAGCCAGACTGAAAGAGGGAAGGGAGAATCAGAGAAGCATCCGATTTTCACCCCATCTCCAGCATAAGGGACTTCAGCTCAACTCTAGATGTGTCTGAGCCTGAGAAGTATGAACATCTTCAGTGTTTGCACCCCACCAAGAACTCCCGTCTTGCCTCAGTTCCGGCTTGACAGAGACCCTTCTAGAAGCCTCAGAAGAGTCCTTTCTTTGTTGGGGCCACACTTCTGGGAGAAGCAGGTCGTTTTCCTGACACCTTAGGTTTCCTTAGTGCTTCTCTTTGCTCTTCTCCCCCGGTGTGGCTGGCCATTGTCACTTTGAAGATAACATACCCTCAGAATTTGCTTTTGCTTCTGATTCACCCTGCGCTGTAGGGCTAAAAATCTAGCTTGTTGACCCATCTTTGATACTCAGAGCAACTGCACTTGTGCACGGACATAGTATTTAAATGAAACAAATCAGGAAGCAGGACACAGAGTATGGACTTTATGCTTGCTCTGTTTCCTTAGACAAATTAAGAACATAAAGTTCAGGATGACAGCACCCACTTCATAGCGTTCTTCTGAGAATCAGAAATATTAAAGCTTTAGGGACTGCTACCAGATAGGTGCTTTAAAAAAATAGCAAATCATTTAGCATTTTTCACTGATCTATACTAAGCAAACCCCACAATACTTCTATGATGTAACCTAATACCCAGTTACTTATTACTTATCCATTATATGTGAACAGGTTGATTGAATGTTTAGTTTCTGTTCTGTACACTTCTGCCGTTTTCTCTAAGAACAATCCCTGGATTTGAATGCAAGCCTCTGTAATCTCAGGGCTCATTTTTCTATACTTAGACATCCAGTAACTTCACCCTGCCTTAGCAGAGACTGTCATACATGATGTGGTACACACCCGTCATCTCCAGACTTAGAATGTTGAAGCAGGAGGATTCCCACCTTGGACTACATGGTGATACCCTATCTGAAAACACAGACTGAGCCTCTTTGTTTGGAAGCTCGGCCAGCAGTTTGGCTCTTTCATGCTCCCAGTGTGAATGTGCCTACTCCCCACCTGAACCTGTCCTGGGGTTGGATGACAGGTGTAGGTCTAGGGGAGACTGTTCAAAAGTCAGTGCCTCCTTACCACCATGAGCGCCACACAGTCCAGCTTCTTCCAAACACGCTCTAATTATAAGTTTCTGATTAGGAATGGGGCTTCTTGCCTCTGCCTTTACATCCCCTTCCTTCCCCAAGTCGACCCTGGCTTTTGCTACCAGATGAAAATTTGCCTTTCTATCCCAGTCCATAGGATTCAATTCAGATACCTCCACAAGCCAACCCCACTGTGCCTACCCAACCTCATGGACACAGCTTCAATTTCTTTTCATTTTTCTGCTGACCTCTGGTGTCGACAAAATGCCAAACACACCCTGTTAATGCTTTTGTTTTTGTTTTGTTTTGTTTCATTGACTGGAATGTCCCTGTCCCAATTCCTTTGCCACTAGACAAATCCAGTTCTTTAATTTGAAGGCCTTGAGAAGGTTTGTTTTTATTGTGAAAGTCACCAAGCTCCCTTTTTGGGGTTTTTCTGTGTAGCCCTGCCTGTCCTGGAACTTTCTCTGTGCACCAGGCTGGCTTCCAACTCACAGAGATCTGCCTGCCTTTGCTGCAATTAAAGGTATGCACAACCACAGCCTAGTTTATACCAAGCCTATTATCTCTTTTCTTCCTTGTTTTTTCATTTTCTTCTTTAAACAAAAATGGAGATAGTTCTTTATGTCGCAGGCCCTATGGAAATAAAGAGAAAGCCTGGGTTCCTGCCCGAAGGACTCGGTTTAGTGGCTGTGTAACTGAAGCACCAGAACAGGGTGTTTAAGTACAAGAATGGAGGTGTATACAGAAGGAAACAGCAGGACCAACGAGGTCTGGGGAGACCTCACTCAGAACAGACAGTGACCCCAGTCCTTATGTTCAAGTAAAGAGCTGCAGGGGCCTGGGGCACTTACATATTCGATTACATATTGATCAATTGCATATTTCTGTGTTCTTCCTCAGTTGTTTAGGGTGCTTGCCTTGACTTTTCAGTGAGACTAGTCAGCTCAAGAGCAGGGACAGGCCTGGCACTTTCTGTTCTTCCAGAGCCCAACAACAGCACTGGACAAACACCATGTGTTCAGAAAACGCTTGTTGACTGGAGACCGATAACTATCCAGGCTTCCCTGGGATAACTGCCTGCAGAGCCCCACCCCCGGTCGATCAGCTCCCTAGCTCATTCCTAACAAGACACCCACAGTTAAATCTCCCATCCAGTGGTCACCTCCCTCCTGCCATAAGGGTGAGACTTCAACAGCCGACACCTGCTCGTTCTGCCCCAGATTTCTTTATTAGGGCCTTGCATTTGACCCAAATACATTAACAGGAGAGGGCTGAGATGCAGCCCCTGACACAGTACCTCCCTTCCTCCTGGCCAGGGTCAGGACAGTGAGAAAGCAGTAAGATTTGAGTGATGGGAGACTGCATTGACGGAAGGGACAGAGAGATGGCAAATCATAAGGTATGGGGAGCGACAAGAGAAACAGTAGATACAGATGAGGTACGGGATAAGAGACAAGGCAGGTGTCTGAGACAAGGGCTGGTGTCTGAGGAAAAGCAGCTCCTTTTCTCATCAGCGAGGGATACCAGGACCTTAAGCACCCTGTATGCAGACCGTAGTCGGCCCTATAGTAGAGAATGACCTAGTGTCCCACGGAGCTCGGGGAAGTGCATGGATGGTAGGAAGGTACATGTAGAGAGCAACTGGGGCTGGTGGGTGGTTGCCGCAGCAACTAGTCATCATCATCGTCATCGTCGTCGTCATCATCGTCATCGTCATCATCATCCTCTGTGTTGATCTCACCCTCCAGTACATCCTCCAGCCAGTCCTCCAGCTCCTCAGCAGAAGGCAGATCCTCCTCGTTGTCCATCTCCATCCATATGCTGTCCGCCTAGGCAACGGCACAGGTAGGGACGGAAGCTAAATTCAGTACGCATCTGGACCGTCCTCCCACTCCACTGTACATCCTCTGTCCCTTCCCTGCATCCTTCAGTGGCCAGAGAAGCTATCTCAGCGAAGATGAGAGTTAGAATGGTGATGGATACGAGTGGAAAGAAAGGTGCTTTGGCTGAAAACCTCCCTTCAGTCTGTCTGTCTTTACTGTTGCTGGACTGAGCACCAGAAAGCATATATCTCTGTCATGTCTATGATGTAAAAGCTGTGAGACTACTCATGGCAAGCATAATAAAGTCAGAGGCTTTTAACATTCAAAGATTTTCATAAAATGATTTCCTAGTACAAGCTTTGGTGATTTTTAAACTCAAAAATTCTAGTGTATTCCCAAACCTGCTATTCACTACTTTTGCTGCCTTTGTTGTTGTTGTTGTTGTTTTTATTTTTAAGATGTGCTCTTGATGGCTCACACCTTTAATCCCAGCATTTTCGAGGCAGAGGCATGTAGATCTTGGAGTTCAAGGCCAGCCTTGTCTACAGAGTGAGTTTCATGATAGCTACCTAAAAAAACAAAACAAAACAAAACAAAACAAAAAAAACAAAGAAACAAGAAAAGATGTGCTCTTGCGTTATAGCTGGCTGGCTGGCCTCTGATACTTGCTATGTAACTAGGCTGGATTTAAACCAACAGCAGTACTCCAGCCTTTACCTTTCCAGTGCAGAAAGTAGAGGTATGTACCACCATGCCTGCCTTTGCTTTAGACCTTTGATCACCCTTTACTCTGAATTTAGAGACTTGTATATGTCCCTTGTTGAAATCTTGTACACAGTTGCTCTCCACTGTAATGCTACTTTCTCTTAAACTACTCCAGTTCTCTCAAGCAGAAAGCACTGCCTTGCTAGCTAGCATTTTATTTATATTATTGTAAAATTTACCAGAGCCAGCCTTACTTGCCTACTCCATAAGACTGAGAATACTATGAAATCAAAAGCTATACTACTCAATTCAACTCAACAAATAAGTGTGTGCTGTGTGGTCATCTGAAGATTTCTGCTTTCAAAATGTTCAGAATCTGCTGGAGGAGATAGGATGCTGTAAGACAAATTCTCGATGCCAGTGACCAAGTGTGCCACAGAGGGAACACTTCCGAAGTGGAGGACAAAGAAGTTGAACTAGACTTTGAAGAATGAACAGGTGATTCCAGTGAGTGGATGGTTCAAATGTTCAGATCTTGCATTCCTACCCCACAGGTCCAGCCATTGGACAGGAAATGTCTCCTGCTCCCGGGCAGGGCTTGTTTCCTAGGTAGCATCTGCACTGAGAAGGCCGAACCACCCTAACCTCACCCAGTCCTGTCTGATCTTGGAGGCGAAGCTCGGTTGAGCCTGGTTAGTACTTGCGTGGGGGATGAGCTGGTGGGTAGGCAGGAGTGAGGAAAGGAAACTCACGTCGGTGACGTTGACAACTCCTATTTGGGGAGCTGACAAGTCGATGTCAAATGTCTTCTCCCAGTACGGGACCAGCTGTAGAGAGAACCAAATACAGCGACTTGATACATGTTAGGAGGACAGGAGTCCTTAACAGGATGCCAGTCAGTCTAGGGATAAAAGGAGGCAGGATGAGCTGGTAATGGGTAGAGGGACAGACCAGCAGTGCGCCGCAAAGCTGGAGGTAAAGTTAATCGGTGAAGATGTAGAAACTTCAAAGGAAAAGGATGAGGAAGACAGCTTTTCTTTTCTGGGGAGAAGAATGGAAACGCCTGCTTTGTTCCTGGGTCTACTTATGATTGGCCTTGAACCTTTGAGCAACTCACCTCAGTTCCTACATCTCTCTCGTTTTTGTTTTGTTTTGTTTTGTTTTGTTTTTTGTTTTTGTCTTGTTTTGTTTTTTAACATTTGCATGAATGTTTAGCATGGGCGTGCATACCTTCAGAGGCCAGAAGAGGGCGATGGATCCTCTGGAGCTGAACAACCACCACACGTGGGTGCTGAGAACTGAACTCCAGTCTTCTGGAAGAGCAGCAAGTGCTCCTAATCACTGAGCCATTCTCCAGCCCAGTTCCTACATCTCTTAACATAAGGACTTAGACCTGGCAATCATCAGTGCGTGTCACATTCCTGTTTGCCCATTCAACAATAGGTGTTAGGTGCCGGGGATTCAGCTGAGAACAGAGCCTTCTCCTGGGACACGGACTCTGCTGAGTCTCTGAGTGTATGTACAGTGTTGTGCTCGGCCGCCCTGCAGAGCCCTGCTCTTCAGCTCTGGTACGTTAATTACCTGTCCGCCTCTGATCTGGGAGTCCCGTACTGCATCCCATGCAATTCACTTCTCATCCCCTTCGCCCCTGCGTCTACACTGTTCGTGAACACGAAGCAAGCGTAACTTTGTGGGTCCCAAGCTAGGATGTGGGGATAGGAATTCCGAAACAAAAAAGGTAGCCCAGTCCAAGTCCCTGCTTTAGGCCACCAGTGCTCCAGCAGTGTCTCTTACCAGCGGGAAGTCATCAGGGTCAATCCAGATGATACTGAGGTCAGGGTTTTCAGTGTTGTCTTGGGCCACAGCCTTGAGAGTCTCTAAGAACTCGAAACCGTCTTGGAAGAGGCAGAAGTAAGAAAAGTGAGGTGGAACAGATAGGAAAAGGACACAGGAGACAAGAGTCCAGACCTGTTTCCCTTCCTCTAATACCAACACACTTCAAGCCCTCGGCTGCTTGAAGACTCCCAGGAATGCCTTCCACGGGAGGCCGAGGCCTACGACCCAACAGATACTCCAACCGCCCCTGCCTTCCCCCAGGGCACACTAGCGTCCCTTCCTTCCTCACCGGGGTCAGCTTCCTCTGCAAAGGCCACAATGTGGATTCCATCTAGATCATCCTCCTGTTGGGAGATGAGGGAAGCCGGGTTAGAGCTGGGGGATGGGGTGTGCGTGGAGGTCGGGGGTCAGAGAGACCTCACTGTTCTCCTGTCCAGCCCCTCAATGTTCCTTGAATCTGAGTCATGGAATGCCAGACTGTGTTTTCTATGGCGGTGACTCTTTGAAGTAACAGCTCTTTCAGCTGTAGCAATCCCTTTACCCCAGAGTTCGAGTCTGCCTTGTCATATTCATTCACTTATGTCTGTCACCTGAGACATGACGTATTCTTCGGTTATAAAAAACAAAACGAAACAAAAAACCCAGCTTGCTCCTTGGCTAACACACTGCTTTATTTTTTTTAATTTTTTTTATTATTTTTTTTATTTTTTTTTAAGATTTATTTATTTATTATTTATACAGTATTCTGCCTGCACAACAACAGAAGAGGGCATCAGATTTCATTATAGATGGTTGTAAGCCACCATGTGGTTGCTGGGAATTGAACTCAGGACCTTTGGAAGAACAGACAGTGCTCTTAACCTCTGAGCCATCTCTCCAGCCCCTATTTTTTTTTATTTTTATTTTGTTTTTACCCCCTAGTAGAAAGGCACAAGGAAGAGCAGGGACAGCCATTTCCAATACTTACCATTTTACCCACCCCTGCCTCCCCAAGAACCTGGTCCTGGGTAGAGTCACTCACCCAAGTCTCATACATACTCTCAGGTTTCAGCTTCCTCAGCGTTGATCTAGGAGAGACACAGGGGGTCCCTATTCAGTGGGCAAGAAGGACCTCTTTCTCTAGAAGGTCCCCACAGCTGAAGCCACCTCTGGGTCAGGCCTAGGGCATAGACAGCTTGTTGCCAGAACAAAGCCAGCTAGCAAATCTAAGCTCTGGGCATCAGGCCCGGATCACTGTATGACTACAAAACAAATGGTTAGTGGGGAAGGGTAGGATGGCTGGAAGAGAGACTTTGGGAGAAAAGGTAAGAACAGCATAGTCATTTTTTCATTCACTCATTCAGTAAAATTGATAGCCTGAGCTCAATAGAATTGCGTGCCTAATTGAGCCAGGCCCTGGGTTCACGTCCCACTACCAGGAAGGGGGTGGAGGCTGATGAAGGTTATAAGTACTGAGTTAGGTATTGGGTAGAGTTACACTATACAATATGTTGGCCCCAGTCAAAGAGGACAAAAGCGAATGGAAGAGGGTAAGTAGTATTTAGACGGAGGAGTGACAATCTAATTGTGGAGTCACATGAAGGAGGAGAATTACGTGTGAGTATAGGGCAGGCTTTCCTAGCATCAGCTGACATGGAGGGAGAGGGTGTCCTGTGCACTGCAGGATGCTTAATAGTATCTCTGGCCTCTAATTACTGAATACCAGCAGCACTCCTCACAGCCCAAAGTGTCCTGGAAACATTGCCTAACAGCCACTGGAAGGCAAAAGCCTTGCCCCACTGGCCACGCCCTCTGCTAGTTGAATGAGAAACTGCTAGAGAAGGAGAAAGGATATGGGACTGAGTTAAGGCTTAAATCCCAGCTCTGACTCTTTCCCGTTGATGCCTCTCTCACCGAGGATGCTAAAGAATTAACTTCAACAATAGAGAGAAGGTACGTTTCAATTCGTGGTCAGAACAGGCACTCACTAATCTGTTGACATTACTTAAGTTGTAAGGAGCCCCGCAGTCCACACATTTACAGAGGACTTTCTCTGTGTGGGGCTCAGGGCTAAGTGCTGGGGTACAAAATATAATGGGGAACTGCTAACGTATCAATGCCCAGAAGTGTATTGGTCTCCAGCAGAGTCCTGCTTCTTTGTTGGCTTGTTTTCCACCCCACCTCACAGACTGGTGCTCTAGCCCCAGAGGAACCTGTTCCACAGAGGGCTGCCCAGTCCCCACCTCCTGTGCTCCTCCACGAAGCTGACAATCTCCTCTTCACTGTTGGGTTTGTCTGGGATGGTCACAGGCTCATCCATGAAGGCCTCATAGAAGTCAATCTCGTTCAACTTGAGGGTCAGCTTCTTTGCCACCTTAAGGAAGGAAAACGAGAGTTGTGGAGTCGGAGATGCAGGGTCAGAATGGGAAACAGTGTAAAGGGGGAACAAGTTGCAGAAAAGGAGTGAGAAAATGTGGGTCTCTGTCACTGGCTGTAGCTTTTGTGGGCTTCATTTAACAAAGGTGGGTCAGACAGTCTAATTGCCCATCTTCCCTTCAATTCCATAGGAGAAGGAAGGAGAAATTTGGAGTGGAGAGTGCCAGCATGTAGAATGGCACACCAAGACCCCATCAATTTTTAGAGAGAAGGCTGAAGGTAACGTAAGAGTGTCGGGAGACATAGTGAAGCTGCAGGGAAGAGAACCTTGCTGTCAAAGGTGGCGAAGAACGGGATGTAGGGGTGGAACTCCTCGGCTGCATCCTCGTAGGCTTTGTAATCTGAGGAAGGGACAGTCATGTTCAGGGTCTGCCAGAGAATCACTCCCCTCGGCCTCTCCGCAGATCTTCCGTGACATGGAGGTCTCAGAATGAGACCCATCCCCTCTAAACTCTAGTTCTCTGAGAATAAAGTACAATAGAATTGTGGAGGGAGCAATGGAATGCCGGGGGTGTTTGGGAATGGCCCAGAGTGCAGGGACAGATGATGGCGCTGACCACGCCAAAGAGAGAAGAGGGGCTGGGATTTCAGAGCCGTAGATTTAGCTGAGCCACACCGAAGAAGCGCGTCGGGAGGGTAGGCTGAATGCAGGGTCAGAAAGGGGAGCAGGGGGGCTGTTACCCACGCTCTGAGTCTTTGCTCTTGAAGTAGCCAATGAGCTTGATTTCATCCTCGATATTCTCAAAGGCCTGCAGCTCTCGTTCCCCCTCAATCAGTTCCACAGGGTCTTCTAGGACCTGGAAGAACACGGACATCGAGGGGGAGACCATTTCTGTCCTCACTGATAGGACCCAGAGAGAGAGAGAGAGAGAGAGAGAGAGCGAGAGCAAGCTAGGGGAAAGGCAGGGGACGAGAAAGGGAAACAGATGTGGGTATGTGGCCTAGGTGTTGTACGCTGTTAATGGTGTATGTGTGTGATGTGTATGTCCTGTATCTTGTGTCTGTGATATGTTGTTGTTATGTGTGGTTTATTTATGGGTGTGATGTGCAAAGTACATGTATGATGGTAAATTGTATATGTTCCATGTTATATGTGATTTGTGTGTTACAGGTCACGTGTGCTGCAAATGGGTGTGCATTGTATGTATGTTTTGTGTCTGGTATATGTGGTACACATATATGGTGTGTGACATATATTATCTGTCGTCATATATATGTGGTATGTGTGTGTTTTGTGAGCATTGTGTCTGATCTGTGTGATATATGCATGTGATATGTTGCATGTGTTGTATGACTGATGTAGTGTGTGTGTGTGTGTGTGTGTGTGTGTGCGTGTAGGGGGTATATAATAGGAACCAAGGGGCATTGGAGACTTGAAGGCTGTCAGGCTCCAGGGAATCCTCACATCAAGCAGAAACTCCACCAGAGTGTCTGCAGAGAACTCGCCATCATACTCAATGACTTCATCTCCTTTGAACACATAGACGCTGTCTTCTTCAGTTAGTCCTAGGGAATGCATGGGAGGGCGGTGAACTAGGAGCACAACCTTCCCACAGACCAGAGTCTAACTTCTGGCTACAGCCCACTTGATAATCCTGGCAGATTTACCCTCCATTTCTCTCTGCATCTGCCTTACACCCTTCATTCCCAAGCCCATGTCTGTGAATTTAGCTTAGGAGCTAGCGTCACAGCTGAGGAAGCTAGGGAAAAGCTGGAGCTCAGGTAGGGTCTGAGGGGAGGAAACTGGAAGATGCGGATTCTGCTCCTTTACTCTGCCTACATAGACAGGGACAAATATTTCTGCCAGCTTCTCTGAAGACTCTAGTAGCTGATTCTCTGCTGTTGCTGTCCAGATGCCTTGTTGCTAACTACCCTTCCCCCAACCATATCCGGTGTCCAGCCTGTGCTGCCTCCTGGCGGCTGGTGGTGTAATATTTGGGCTCAGCTAAGAGGGGGAAAGGAGGGAGGAAATGGGGAGGGGAGGAGGGGGGGAGGGAAGGGGGTAGGAGCTCAAAAAGGACTTTGTAGAAGGTCTCTCTGACTATGCCTGTATTTTTTTTTTAATTTTACCTTTCCTTCCAACACCTGTGTTTCTTTTTTCTTTTTAACTAAAAATTTTTAGGTTAGCATACAAAGAAACTCCATGTTAGTAGTTGTTGTTTTTGAGAGTTTTACTATGTAGCCCCAGAGGCTTGAGTCAACATCCTCCTGACTCATTCTTCCACGTACAAGTATGGGGCACCATGCCCACGCTCATGCCCAGCCTTAGCCATTTTCTAGATAAGCCACCACCTCACCCTGTTCCATCTCATGCTGGGATTAGAGCATGGGTCTCTGTACAGAATAGCCCCCAATGTCAGACACCCCCCCTTCCCACTTTAGGATAGGTGTGGCGGAAGAACTCCTGAGCCCTCAGATTCCGCCCACATCCCCCACCTAGGCCTCTCCAGTCTTACATTCCCCTTTGGCTTCTTGCTCCTCCTCCTCCCTTACCTAGTTTCTTGGCCACAGCTGCATCCTTCTCAGAGTCCACCAGGCCGAAGCCAACACCCTTGTCTTCTAAGACCTGGGCTGCTAACTGGAAGAGTCATGAGTAAATTAGCCCCTAGAACTCTTATTAACCCCTTCCCCGTTTAATGCCTTCCCATCGTCGGGTCAGCTGAAGTGCAGGCCGCTCAAGCACTGACCTTGACCATCTGTTAGGATACAGACTAGCCCCAGGCACCTCATAATCCTGGCCTCACTTTGGTTCCACTCTTTAAAAAGATCGGGCCTATTTACTGCTCATTGCCATGTTCCTGAGGGATGCTGTGGAGTCTCACCTTCCATAAGAGGCTGGGCCCTGCCTTCCATCATGATCAAACTCAGCATGGGTGAATTTGGGACCCTGGGATCCTCAAGCAACTCCTAAAGTGAGAGCTGTGGAGAATGGGGTGTGTGGATGGGGATGGTCATGCTATTGAGGGGCAGGAAAGGCCAGAAAGTCAAGAGGTCACCGTTACCCCTAGAGGGAGAGCCACTGGCAGAAACTAAATAGCACTCTTCTTCCAGGCCCCATTTCTACCTGTCACAAAATACTTCTAAGCCAGTCTCTAGACTATGGATAATCACACAGGCTGGTCACTACCCCAAAAGCCTCCCCACCCAGCAATCTGACCATTCTTTCTGCTGAGGGCATACTTCACTGCTGCACCCCACCCAAGCAAGGCAGCTCAGTGATACTTAAGGGAATGGGAGGGTGGGTGGCAGGTGGATGGCAGAGGCCACTGAGCAATCAGGACAAAAATACTTGGCTCATTAATCAAACAGCGGTTTCCAGAGCCCGACGGGGCACACAGAAATGCAAGTTTGGGGCCTGGTGTCTTATACTGAAATATCCCAAGCTCTGTGTAAGGTGGGGCCTCTCTGTATCACCAAGCCAGAGAAGTGCAGATAAATGAAAAGATATCCCACACCCTTAAGGATGTGTGTGGCCACATGTTCCAATCATAAGGCTCTCTCCTCCTCCTTCTGTTAACCCTCCCTGCTTTGGGCCCAAAGTCATAGTGAAAGAAAAGATGGGGAAGGCATGCTGAAGCCTCCATTACAAGGATTTTTCTAGCGAGGACCTCCGTGTAATCCAAGAGAGACAAAAGAGGAATTGAAGGAGGGAGCGAGGCTGGGCTGGGAGGCCCGTGGGAGGCCTCTAGACGATATTTAGTGATTATTAGTCAGCTGCAGGCAAATAAAATATCAATTGTGTTTACACTTCTGCTGTTTGGGTATTGGAGTACAGTCCTAAGTGTGTAGAGAGGGGGCTATTTTGGCTAGAAGAGTACGTTGGTGGTATGGGGCACAATGCATGGTGCTGTGTGCAGCCGCCATCACCTCCCCCACCCCAGCCAAACCTAGTACCCCTGCCTCCTACAGCACGGAGGGGGCAGCCCCCTAAAGTTACCAAAAGGGCAGGGCTTTGGTCCCTGAGTCTCGTTCTTTTGGCTGAGGCCACGTTCCATTCACGTTCTTGGTAAAGACAGAGACCCGGGGATGCTGCTCTCACTCCAGCTCCAGCCCTCAGACGTGGGGCTCACAGAGGAGACCAGGCATGCTCCTCAGGCCTGCCATCCTCTACTCACCTCCAGGATCAGCTCCTCCATTTCAAATTGTCTTTGTGAGGCCTTGTCATCCTCGGGAGGCTCATGGTAGAGGAGGGCCAGCACCTCATACTTCTTGAACACGTTCTTGTAGTTCTTTGCGTTCACATTGATCACACGGTCCACACCGTCGTACTCGGGGAAGTCCAGCCCTTCCTCCCCCTGGACCCCTGACTTGGGTGTCCCTAGCACCAGTACAAACAGCAGTGCCAGCCGCAGCTTGGACACTGCTCTGGCCCCCATCCTGCCAGTAGCTCTCATGGAGGATCTGGGTCTGCTCTCCGGGTCCAGGGGAGGTTAGCTGAAGTAGGGAGGTACCCCTGGATACAGAATCCTGAGTTAGGGGCTCCAGGTGGGGGTGGGGTAGAGAGTAGGCCAGAGCAGTGGACAGAGGACACTGCTGGGTCCTGGAGAAACTGCCGACAGAGCCAAGAGAAAAAAGGGTCAGGAGGAGGAATAGGAGCAGGGGCGGGGAGGGAACCGGAGCTGCCCCTTGAAACTGGCACCCCTCCGTCCCCACCTGGTCCTGTCTAAATATGTCTCTGTGGTTGGCAGGAGAGATGGATAACCTTCTGAGGCCAGGACAGCTTCGTGAGAGCTTGAGTCCTCCCACTGCCTATACCTCTTCTCTAGGTGCCCAGCAGCTCCTTCCTTCCCCCTCCCCCAGTGTCCAGGGCTCCTTAGCCCCTGGCCCCATGCAGGCCTAAGAGCTCATCGCCATATTAAGAAAGGGAAAGGGAGAGATGCCCGATCTAAAAATAAGACCAGATGAGTTAGGGGTAAGTGAAGCTGGGCTTGGGGGAGGGGAGGTGTCGGGGTAACTGGGGATCCCAGGATAGGACAAGGCTAATCAGAAGGAAGTGCAGGTGGAGAGGACACAGTTTGGGTCAAAGGCTAAACTGATAATATAGGATGAAATGGGGGAGAATGCGGTATTTCTTCTGACCCCTAAAATCTGACGATCTTCTATAGGTAAAGTCTATTTCTTTGATACAGAGAAGGCAGGGGCAATAAAAGAGCATTCCAGACTCCAGGAAAGAAACCCTTTGCAGTTCCCTTTAAAGAACGTAGACCAAGGATGAGATCATTCTCTGAATAAAAGATGGAGTGGAGTCCAAGACCAGAAACCTGGCTTAGCTCCAGTCAGTTTCCTTTGCTTCACTCAACAGTCCTAACTCAGGAATGTAGGGGGAAGGACAGGGCTGGCCCATATTCCATCCTGGAGTGATGGGGACTTGGGCTTTGTCTGCCTGTCCGGCCCACTGCTGCTTGGTGCTTCCTCTCTGAGTGCTCTGCCCCCTGACCCTGTGGGGCTCTGCTTCTAGGGCAAAGGGGGGCGGAGAGGATTCCCCAGCCTGAATGCTTCTACGCTTCTACAGAGAGCTAATAGCCACTATTTATTCCTGCATCTGGACAAGGCACAGAGGATCGATATAAGTATGGGAAAACATTAATGTGAGGTAAACAGGAAGGGGTGGGCCCTGTGCCCTTACCCAAGGCTGTGGATTAAGTCTGTGTGTCTGAGGTCTAAAGCAGAGCTGCAAGTGTGAGAGCTGTAATTTCAGGCTTCTATCCTGGAGCCCAAGAGTTGAATTTTGCTTTGAGTACTTAGCCTTTTATGAGTACCCTTTTATGGCCTTCCAGGGTTCATACTATACCTAGATAAACTGAGGCTCAAAGATCATGGAGAGATCACTTTAAAGTCATACTTCCTTGTGCCCAGTGAAAGGTATTTCTCATTTTAGAAGGATGGTGCTTGTTTTGCATCTAGGTAGAAGTATAAAGTTTTGATAGCAGAATAACTTCTTTCATGCCCTTGGAGCAGACCATACACAGCTAACTTAGCATTCTTAAGAACATGGCAGGAGGAGGTCCAAGAGGGGCAGCTATCACTGTATCAGGGGAGGCCAGAGGTAGCCCAAGCATGGCACTGGAGCTGAGGAGATCTCAGAAGCCTGTCTCTTAAGCTCCCAGGAGAGTGACAGATGTGCCAGGCAGAGCTTACAACTGTGGCTGCAAAGGCCACTCAGGAGTGATGGGCAGGCCTGCTCAGGACATGATCTGGCCTTGGCGCTGCAGGGTTCTGGGGAGATGTAAATGTCTGAACAGACATTGGAGCACTAGACTTTTTCCATCATGACTTGAACCTTTGTAGGTAAACAGGACTCCACGCTGACCCTGACTGCTTCAGCTCCTCCTTACCATGCAGCCACCATCCCCCTCTGGTGGCCCTTTCTGGCTCCTTTCCACCCTTACTGTCATCAGCTCCTACACCACCACTACTCTAGGCCTCTTCTCTCTAATGCTTTGCTCTCTACTTTTTACTCAGTCCCCTTCCTTCCAGGCTCCCTGTGTGCAGGCATGGATTTGACACGCCTCAGCTACCCATATCAAATGACCCTGAGTTGGGGCGACTGTATTTTTAACCCACCAGACACTCAAAGCTCCTCACTGCTGAAACTTGAGGAGCTGGTACCTCCCCCTCCCCCTCCCCACCTCACTCACATACCTCCCCGCCCCTCTTCCATCTTCCAGGGTCTGTTTCAGCCCTGTCAGCAGCCCGGGTGGACCCCACACTGATATAGCTCTATCCCCAGGAGACCTTGTATTGGAAGAGTGAAGGAGTGGAAGGAAGCCTCTGAGAAAGGGACCTGATTCAGAGAGGGGCTGGCTACATCCTCAAAGGGAGGGGTTTGTTGTTGTTTTTGGTTTTGTTTTGCTTTGTTTTCTGTCAGCCTGCAATAGAGCTCATCCTTGGGATTCACAGTCCTCTGCCTTTGTCCTGTTTTGTTTGTAGCTGTGTTTGCAGCTGTGTTACCACTGTAAGACTAGTTTGAAATGTGGCTAGGGGTACAAGTTCCGGAATGAGCCCCTAGTTTCTCCTCCTGTGAAACAGAATGCAGTGGTGGGAACACAGTGCTGAGGACGGATGATGGCTGCGGTCCTTGTCACGAGGCCAGAAAGCGTGCAGAATGTGTCGCATTTTGGTAACAGCCACTGATTTCCTCCCAGTTTTCCTCAGCATTCCTCTGTATCATTTTGGGCAGATATCTCTGAGAGGTACCTGAGGATGAACTGAGATCTGGTTTTGTGATGGGGCAAGACAAGGGAGGAAGAACCTAGAGAAGAGGGTGGGTAGGGTTGAGGCTCCTTGTACTTTTTTACTAAGACAAGATCAAAAAAAAAAAAAGAGCGTGGCCCAGGGCTCAGGATGCTGAGACAGTAGGCAAGTTCAGTGATGCCTAGCATGCACATAGCCTGTTTCAACACTATAGAAGAGAGAAAAGACTAGAGGGTGGGGATAGTGAAGAGATGTCCTGATGACAGGGTTGAAGGGCAGGAACCACCCAGTCTGCCCCGGAAGAGGGACCCACGCCCCCACTCCATGTGACCACTCCTAAGTCATTGACCCTATGTTATTGGGTCTCCTTTAGAATATCAGTGCTGTGGCCTGAGGAACATCAGTCTGGCCTGAGGAAGCCCAAGTCAGGGTCCAGATTATTTGGCCCCACAAGCCCCACAAGTATGGGTACAGATACGAGTGCTGTGATACCTCTACAAGACGTAGCTCAGCTGGTCTTCCTGTGTCTCTCTTTTACCATCTGGGTTGAGCTAGACTTGAGAGCAGTCCCTTGTCACTAGCGCTGAGAGGACATCAGAGATTGATCTTAAAATGGGAAATACCCTGCAGGGGTAAGTATGCTTGGTCTTCTGTTTTTAAGGGCAGAGTTCACAATGTAGCCCTGTCTGGCTTAGAACTCAACACGCAGACAAAGTTGACGTCAGATTCACAGCGATCTACCTGCCCCTGCCTTTCAAATGCTAGTATTAAGGGTATGTGCCATCACAGCCAGCCCCGGATGCTTGACTCTAGTACCTTCTCGGCCTCTTCTTAGCTCCCTGGAGGTCTCCCTTGCCTAGTTTCAATGTAGGTGCAGGAAGGGAGCTTTACAGCATTCTGCCCTGCCCTCTGCCCCCCCTGAAAAAAATCAGACTTCCATACACGGAGTAATGTGAGGGCTGTTCCAAGTGTTTACTCTCTAGGTTGGCTGCTGGATGTAACAAGACTGTGTAACTAGTCACTGGGCTCCAGGCAGGCCAAGCTGGGCTTTCTCTCAGCCCACCCCCATCTCCCACCAGATGCTCTTGCTCCAGCCCCGGGAATGGAAGTTCATCTCTCTCATCCAGAGTAAATTCAACCCAGTGTCTCTGCCCCCTGCTTAATCTCAGATGTCGTATCACACTCAGTCCTGGCTTTCGTGACACCAATGTCACCTGAAGCTCTTTCTCTGATGCGTTTAGTAGTATGTTTCCTTCTCCAGCCATCCTGTGGAGAAGAAACAAATCGAACTAAGGGAAGGTCTCAGCAGGGACACGCAGGGGAGCTTGGCAGACAAGAAGAAAAGAAGCAAGGGGACAGCCTGCTGTGTGGAACAGGGCCCCAAGCATTGGGAAGAAAAGTGAAGTCAGGAGTAGAGGGCTGGGAGCAGGAGCAAAGGACAGTGAGATGGAGAAAGCCAGTGGGTCCAGAGGAAACAGATGGGTTGGGAAAACTCATTAGGGGGTTAGTGACCACTCAAGAGCAAGGTCCAGGGCAGCCTTACCACCAGGCCGTCTACGGATGATGAGTTTTCTAAGCTCGTCATAAATGAAGATGAGAACACTGTAGGGAATGGCACACAACCACCAGTTTATCCTGTAGAGAGCAAGAGGCGGTCAGTGTGGCTGAAGACGCAGCGGCCAGAGAAGGGTAAGCAGCAATGGTGTATGGGAACTATAGAGACTGAGCTGGGTGCTCAATAAGAGGATATAGCTGATTTGAGATATAGTTGATCAACTGAGATATGGTTAATTTTCCCTTTGAGGAGGTCAGAGCCTGAGTGCCAAGGGATTGGGGGTGGAGAGAAAGGACACAGCACAGAAATCAGAAATGTCAATGGCAATATGATAAATGTCATGGCCGGAGTTAATGCAGCATTTCTAGATATTGCCAACTAACTTTCATGAGCTGCTGAGAGAGTCACCCCTTTCCCATGCTGTTTTTCTGCATACTCTTAAGCTCTCCAACTAGGGAAGGCAATGTATACACTTATGCGTGTTTTCATGTATCACCCTCTTGCAAAATAGACCCTTTTTCCACTTTGGGCTTCTTCTCTCATTAGGGAATGGGAAGATGGACTCAGAGAGTCTTATACCCTTGAGTGGCCCAGAGAACAGCACAGAGGTCAATAGCTCTGAGAGCTCAGTAGTTCAACAGGAAT